ATTGGAACACTGCTATCATGTCTCCCCTAGTCCTTCTTTCTATTAAACTAGACATACCCAGTTCCTGCATATATGTTTTAGATATATAGTTCCTTCATATGTTTTAGACTCCAGTCCCCTAATCATCTTTGTTGCTCTTCTCTGCACTCTTTCTAGAGTATCCACATCTTTTTACATCATGGTGACCAAAACTGAATGCAGTATTCCAAGTGGGGCCTTACCAAGGCATTATAAAGTGGTATTAACACTTCACGTGATCTTGATTCTACCCTTCTGTTTATGTAGAACTGTGTTGGCTTTTTTGGCAGCTGTTGCACACTGCTGTCTCATATTTAAATGGTTGTCCACTAGGAATCCAAGATCCCTTTCACAGTTACTACTATTGAGCAAAGTACCACCTATACTGTACCTATGCATTTCATTTTTCTTGCCTAAATGTAGAACCTTACTCTTTTCACCAGTGAATTTCATTTTATTAGATAGTGCCCAATGTTCAGATATCATAGTCTAGGCCTGATATTTTAGATCAGGAATAGGCAATCCAGATTCTATCAACCACAGCTATTAAAACTAATATTTATAGAAACTATGGCCTATTATTGAACAACATCTGAGGGATAGTACCAGGCCCATTTACAGAATAAGTAATTGAATAACACCAAGAAAAGAAAAAAAGTAAGATAATGTGCTACAGCCAATAAATTTAAGTGGATTCTCCCGAGTTTGAGAACAGGGCAGAAATTTTTAAAAAGTCTTTTTATCTTAATAGTCTCCAGTTTTTGTCCTGTCTCTGAAGGTTTGCTGCAGTACAATTACATTTACATGCCATGAAACGAAATGTATGAGCAACATATAAAAATATTCACAAACGACTCTTGGGTGCTGCAAAAATCACAAAGGGAAAATTGGCACATGATCTTCGGAATTGTTTTTTTTTAATTTCTTTTAACATATGGAACTATGGTGATAAAATCCATATGGAACTGTGTGATACAATGAAGGGTTTAACATATGCCCAGATCTGAAGCCAACACATATACAATAAGTTCTAGAAATTAGGTTTGTCAAAGGAAGCTGAAATTGTGTAGATTCCTCACATGATACTCTACTACATGAAAATTTCCAGCCCTGATGGGAAAATGATTGGCATAGTAAATGGTGGGTTGGAACTACCCATTCATAATATAAACATTGTAGTTTTAAAAAAGTGAAAGATATTGATTTTAATCAAATAGCTAATATTGTTTAGTAAACAAAACTTGGCAATATAAAAAAAATCCAGGTTCCATTAACCAGCTTAACTCTGGCCAAATTGTATCTTAGTCCAACTTTCTCAAACTTGCACCCTCCAGATATATGTGACCATGATGGTTAAGTATTCTGGGAATTACAATCCCAGCACATCTGGCTAAGATTGGTTTATCATATTGAAATGGTGACAATAAAGCATAGCTTTGAGGCTAATATTATCCCTGAAACAGTGTTTTTGCTAAAATGGATATATCCATCATGAATTTTGTGATTTTCTCTCTAAGTTTATGCTATTCTGCCATCATTACACTGAGTTTTCCTCTTTTATTTTGACAGAAAATTGGAGGCCCACGGCATCTAGTTATCTGAAGCAGAGGTCTCATCATGAGCGGGGGAAGCTCACAATTTGACAATGTTATTATATGGAGTAAAAGATGCTAAATATTATGGGAAAGAGCATGAGGAATATATGAAACTTCTAGTTTCTGTTTGAACTCATTGGATTAAAGGTGACATACAAACAAAAATCAATACAATTAACGTTTAATGGAAAGCATAGAGCCAGGAGACAGAATATGTCAGCTTCCTGGATGTCAAGCTTGGCAGTAATACATACTTTGAAACATAGTGGCAGAAGGTAAGAATATAAAAAGAAGCATGCTGAATCAGACCAAGGCCTATCTAGTCCGGTGTTTGGTTCCAAATGGATGCTTCTGTGGCCAAATAGTTACTTCTGGGAAGCCCACAAGTAGGACAGGCCTAAAATAGCACCCTTCTACTCATGTTTTTCAGCAACAGATACTGAGATCCATACTGTTCTATTACTGGAGGCAAGATACTGCCATCCTAACTACCAACCATTGATAGCCTTTTCCGTTATGAGTTTGTCTAATTCATTTTCTAAACTGTTCTAGTTGATGACCCAAATATTGAAAATGTAAGCAAAAGCACTGATATTTTCCCTTTTCCTTTTTCCTTGTGGTGCAATAGAATTGGGGGCTGAAAATGCTATATTGTACAAGCCATGTGTCACTGCTAGGTTCCATATCTGCACAACTACATAGAAAGCTTTGTAGAAATTACCACAAAGCACTTTGTAGCCACAGATTATGTTGAGTACAGAGTGACCCTCCTAGAGGTCAAAAGACAGAAATAAAAGCAAAATACAAAGAGGAGAACAAAGCAAGAGCTTACTTATGGCTCTGATCTCTATGGACGCTTCTCATGCTGCCATAACAAAGAGTGCAACTCTTGAGGTGAATACAGTCCTACTGTTGCATTCCTACATTCCTAGCAATACGTTCAATTGAACCTTACAGCATGTGGAGTTCCTTTACTTTACAGGTCATTAAAGCTGTATGTGGAACGCAGAGTCTCTCTTTTTAACTCTTGGTGTCTCTCTCCTTTAGAAAAATGGACATTTAAAGAATTCCCAGTGTATCAGCCTGTCCAAGAAAAAGGATGTCAAATCCCTCATCTAAAAATGATCACTTTTTACAGAAACAGAATCTTTGTTAGACATTCATTAGTAACCTAACTTAGGGGAGTAAAACTTTTCTTCAATAAAGATAACACTGTGGTCACTAAACCTAATATATGTTATGTTGGCTTCTCTATCTTTCTTTCAACAGCTGTGCATCAAGGTTTCTGCGTCTCCATTGATTTATAGTCATACCTTCTAACAGTGTGATCACAGATATATGAACTTGGTTAAAAAAAGGAAGAGGAAGTATTATTATTACTGCAAAATGTTCTGTTCAAAGATCGAATAATAATTGGTTGCAAGGAGACAATGTACGTTCTTGATCCATTTCCAGTGAATATCTTGTAGAGGTATTATTGAGGAAAAGAATGAAGGAAAGGGAAACCAAAACACAGGTGTGTATACATTTTTGGATTTAAAATAAATCTGATCTTCCTTATTTACACGGTATTGTAAAGGTTACCTAAATTAATCAAGTAACCTGCATGGAAGGTCATGGTTGGGATTGCAGTAGGATATTACTGTACTGTGATATAATGTGATTTAAAGACAGAGGTAGAGGAGCACTACAGTACTGAGGTACAAGGGACAATACCTTAGGATATCGGAGATATAAATAATTAAGTAGTGAGTGTTCCCATTTCTTTTAATAATGTAGGTGATGCTATTTCCTTGGCACCTCAATTTTCTGTCTAATAATATTCTATCAGACTCTTTCAGTTATCTACTTATTTCTTACTTCACAAATGAGTCCCAAGAGAAATATGGATTTCTCTTTTTATATTATATAAGACCATTGGTTCATCTCTTCTGGATTACCTATTTTGGCTACCTGGGGAGCTCCAAGATAGCAAACAGAGACCTTTTCTGGGCCTGCTAAATTCTTTTTGGAAATGATAGATGCTGAATGTGGAAACTTCTTCATACAAAATAAGAGCTAGGAGCTCTCTCCTTTTTTCTAGATAACCAACCCATACATCAGGTCTTAAAGAGAAAGAAATAAAGCGGTTTTTAAATGGTTGCCTTTTAATGCGACTACTACTATGCAACTTTCTATGTTTTTCTCCTAAGCAGAGACATAGAAAGCGTAAAAAAAGGAGGTGGGGAACCACATCATGGTTTTAAGAACCAATGCTTTAAAGAAGAATTACCAATTTTTTTGCACTATAAGATGCCCCTGACCATAAGACGCAACTAGGTTTAGAGGAGGAAAACAAGAAAAAAAATCAGGTGGAGCCTGAGAGGACCACAGAGAGTTGTCCTCTCATGTGCCAGCTCTGCCTATTGATTCCTGCACTGTGAAAAAGAGACAGAAGAGGCAGGCAATGACAAAGACAGAAGAGGCGGGGTTCATCACTGTAAAAGGACCCCATTACTGCGGCTTGGCTATCATTCATCAAAGGACCAGCATCCCTTTTTTTGCGGGTGGGGGGAGAAAGTGTGTCTTATGGAGTGAAAAATATGGTAATACCCCCGTAAATCACAATCAACATTCTGCATTGCAACCACATATGGTTTAAAATCTTCAGAAGAGAATTGCAAACTAGAGTGTTTTACAGAAATGTATTTCTGAAATAACCTATACAAATGTATCATCTTAGCAATAGGTATCTGGTGTTAGATTACAACATGAGTTTAAGAGAGGAGGAAGACTGTGGTATAAAAAATACTTTCATTGAAGAACGGTGTTCCCTACCATTCCAACCACTACTGGAAGGGACTTCTGCAGATTGAAATTGCTTAGCAAATGGTCTTTATACTGATACTCTATTCTTCCATATTGCTAGCTTGTCTCCTGTCAATGGGTAAATGGGAGGGCATGAAACATCCATCACAAAACAGTACCTAGCTGAAAACATCTGGAAAACCAGTCACCCGTGGCTACAATGCACAGCCTTAGAAGAATTAGTGTGGAAGGAACCACTATTCTTTGACCACAGATATGGGAGGGAAGTCCCTGAATGCATGATATGGGACAAGATGGGAGTTCCCACTACTGGTAGTCCTCAACTTACGACTGTTTATTTAGCAACTGTTTGAAAGTACAACAGTGCTGAAAAGAGCGATTTGTGACTAGTCCTCATGCTTACAACCATTATAGTGTCCCCATAGTCACGTGATTGCCATTTGGGACCTCCTTGCTGGTTTCTGACAAGCAAAGTCAATGGGGGAAACTGGAATCCGTTAATGACCCCATGATTTTGCTTAACAATTATGATTTTCACTTAATGGCTGCAGTAAAAAAAACATCTTCAAATCAGACGTGGTTCATTTAACAACTGCATTGTTTAGTGAAGAAAATTCAATTTTCCATCATATTGCTGAGTACATAGACTCTACTCTGGTCCACTGGCATGCTCTGCGATCTGATTGGTTAAACTGTCTGACAGCTCCATATATAAAGAGCTGTCAGACAGCTGCTCAGCTGTTGCTGGCAGCTGAGAGGCCTTGGGTTAGCTGTCTAGTTTGGCAACCATTTGTTAGAAATAAACCCTGTTAGCTTTATATTCCATTTTGCCTTCATTCTTCGCCCACCAATCTCAATATACAACACCTATTGTGGGTTATAAGTTGAGGACTATCTGTAGTGAGAAGCCATGTGCCATTCAGATCCAGAAAAAGGTTGCAGAACTGCCTTCCTAGCACTTCCTCTGGAACAGAAGCAGAGCAAGAATTAATTGAATTGCTGCAGCAATATTAAATGAATGAATGAATGAATGAATGAATGAATGAATGAATGACTCAATTTCCAAAGTGCAAGCAAGGCTTATGAATTCTGGTGATACAGAGGGCAGGAGAGATGGAAAGACCTCTGTTACAATTTTAAAAAAACCTGCCCTGTTTTGAACTGAGATCACTATGTTGGGTTAAAATAAAAGCTTATAGGACTTCCTGTGGTGATGTCACCGTGCTTAGAGCAGAGGAAAGGAAGCTCTCCTAACCTCTAACTCTAACTTCTTTGTTTGGGCTCATTTTTGAGCACTGTTAATCCTGAAGGGGCCAGCAGATTAAGGGGATACTCTGTAGACGCTGGGGTGATATGGCAAATCCTCCTGCGGATAGGAGAAACCCCCTAAACGGACGAGGAACTATCCTGCCATTTGGTTAGGACCAGAACGATGGCAACCGCATAAGAAGGAAGCGAACAGACAGAGAAGCAGTGGAAATAGGATACTTGTTACTATTGCTGAAAACCCAAAGAGGAGGGCAACACGAAATTGGCAGAGAGGGTGAGCTGGAAAGAAGAAGACGCCGGGAGGGAGGCTGTTTTTGCAGTTCAGTTTTGCTGAAAAGAAGTGGAGCAGAGATGCTAAGACGCTGAGATGGAAGGGACAGCCGGAAGAAGCTAAAGGAATTAGCCACAGTGAGAACAAAAACCCGAAATGGACAACAGGAGGGGAAAATAACATTTGCCAAAAAGATTTGGAAAGTTTAAAGAAGAGATTGTTTAACAGTCGGGTTGATATAATGAGTTTTTTTTTTTTCCTGCTCACTCTTCCTTCTGCTGCTTTGTTGAACTTATAAGTACTTGATATTTATTTGCCTCGAAGCTTGGAACAGTGCCAGAGACAATAGATAGAGGGTTGTCTTGGAAAGAGAACTTTGCTTCATGGATACTAACAGTGATACTGTCTGATGCAAGAAAACTATTGGTGACATAAGCTGATACATATATACACACAGAGAGACTAATTACTAGGATTGAATACTTGTATAATCAATAAAATTGAGAGACATTTATTGGTATAAGATAATAGTGTAATATATAAATCTATGATATATATTAATTAAAGACCAAAAATCAAATAATCAAATAGGATAGAATACTACATAGGAATGTTTAGGGATTGAAACGTGATATTAAGGAAAGTTAATTATTATTGAATATTGAATTATACAATTATTTATATCATTGATATTACTGATAAAGTAGAAGTAAAATTAAACTTATATGCAATTGTGGGCAAGGATAAATAGGGGGATAAAAAATGGCAACTTCAATAAAATTAGTGAA